GCATAATTCAGCACTTGTTCCTTTTCCCTTTGCTTCATTTAGATGCTTTACAACTCCATCCAGAAACCTAAGAATTATGTGTAAATAGAGCCAAATAAGCTGAGTCAATATCTGAAGATTCAGAGTTCGCATGAACTCCAGTTTATAGACTTTGATGTCCGTATTTTGCTTGCTCAATGAGACCTTCAGACTTGTCAGCTATGATCCTAGAAAATAGAGATTGCCATTTGCTGTGTACCTGTGCATGCTCTTTTCCATTCTTTCTTCATAAGGACATTGTATCCTAAGATTCTACAGAGTTTTGGTTTATTTTGGTTTCCCTTTCAGTAATTGCCAAGTTCTACTCATAAAAACTAGCTTTTCATTTCAAAGGCATTAAAGTGTATTCTGCACAGATGGTCTATAGTGAGAGTTCTTCATGTGCCCTTCTTTCTCCTGCAGAGCTTTCCTGATACCTATGATAAAGTCTGAAAAGAGGAACATGAACAGCTTCCTGGTATGCAGTGTATTCAGTGTTTATCCTCCTTCATGTATCACATGGAAAATGGATGATGCATCTGCCTCTGAAAGCAATATGAAAGAAATTGGGCATTTGGGTTCTTTTTATATTATGAGTGCATTCTATATCACAGGATCAAATTCATCTTATGAATATACTATTGTTTGCTGAAGCAAACATGGATGGGGCTACAGACACTGGAAGGTAAGTAGGTACTGTGGATCATTCTGTGAGGTTGGGAGGTACTAGGAATTGATTTTACAAGAAAGAATATTCATTCATGGTAGGGCTAATTCTTACTTGCTTACACTCTGGGTATTAATTCCTCATTAATAAAATGCAGTTAATTCTTACCTTCCTAGGTATTGTGGGTTGAATGAAAGCATCTATGAAACGGAATGTAGCAAATCTGTCCATGAATAATGCTGTATTTGTCAATGGTTCATCCTCCAGATAGGATTTTCTGCCTGCATTGCACTTCAGTGTGAAAGATCAGAGAAGAAAGAAATGCTTGTCCTTTTGTAAGTCACAACTTCCAATTCTTCCCACTGTACCAACTAAAAAGTTAATAAACAAAAAACTACTATCACTTGTGGTTTTGTCTCTTTATATAGTATTAGTCCATTAAACTTTATCAAACACTTCTATCACACTTTATCAAACACCTCCATCACAGCATGATCAGTTTTTAACTCTTCTTCTCACTCATTTGAACAAATGCAAACTTATCATTCTTTATACCTATAATCTACTATTTAAGCAAATTAATCTGATTCTTCTGTATCCAATTTCAAGAAGACAATTGTTTTATAGCTTATTGATAACAAAGCAAAAATTTTCTGTACATCTCCCTTATATGAGAAAAGTTGAGATTAGCTATTTTCAGCCTTTGCTCTTCCAAGGTATCATATTCTTAAAATGCTTACCAAAAACATACTGAAATTGTGAGTGATTTACTATCTTTAAATGATTCCAATGTTAAAGACATTAGCAACTAATGTTCATTTGCCATAAGCTAGATCATGGAAGCATGGGAGAGTTTTGAGAATGTTAATATTAAATTGGAAATATTTTTTTGAAAAATTATAAATTCTCATGTTTATTCAGAATTAAGTACCTTAAAGAACCAACAGTCCCTTAGCATTCTTTTGTCTTAACCATCTATTATGTAGCAAGATTTATCACTCTTAAACTATGAATCTAAGAATAAGGACACATGCATCTCCAGATCCTCAGCATCTAGTACAAACATGTTCAAAATAAGACTAAACTGGGAATAGACTGTACAAAAGAGAGTGATTAAAGCAAGTAAGTGTGTTGAGGCAAGAATGAGTTGTTACAGAATATTTGCTCAAGAAAATTGCAGAAGAGCAGAATTTTAACGGCCTAATAGGAGATTCCACAAGAACATAGGCTCTCCAGAGGAAAAGCATAGTACAGTAAGAATTAACTGCATTTTATTAATGAGGAATTAATGCTCAGAGTGTAAGCAAGTAAGAATTAGCCCTACCATGAATGAACCCTCTGTATTCAGGGGTTCCACATCCATAGATTCAACCAACCATACAGCAAAACTCTTCATAAGTGGGGTTGTAGCTCAGTGGTAGAGTGTTCCCTGGCACATGTGAGGCACTGGGTTTGATCCTAAACACTATATATAAATAAAATAAAGGTATTGTCCATCTACAACTAGAAGAGCATTTTTAAAACTATTAATAAAAAAATTGCATCTGTACTAAATATATATAGACTTTATTCTTGCTATTACTCCATAAACAATAAAATGTAACAACAATTACATAGCATATACATTGTATTCGGTATTTTATGTAACCCACATATAAGTTAAAGTATGCTAGAGGATGTGTGAAGGTCATAGACAAATTGTATGTCAATTTATAAAAGTGACTTAAGCATCCACAGATTTTGGGTATTCACAGAAGGATAGGAATGGAACCAATTCTGCCTGGATATCAAATGAAGATTGTGTATAAAATAGCAGGGGAGTGAAGTTGCCTGGATTTGTGAAAAATTGTTGACAAAACTAGAGGATGAAGAGATAAACCTGGAGAGGAAGGCAAAAAACAGATGAAGAATATTCTATACCTTTGGAAAGGGATTGAAATGAGTCCTGGACATATGATGGAGAAAGAAGGAATTGAAGCATTAGTGATTTTGAATCAGCATTTTGTCATGGCAGCATGCTTTCATTGGTGAACTGGGAAGTAGGTAGAGTCCTGAGCAAGGAAAAAACAATCCACATAAGACTACAGAGGTCAACCCAAGAGCTATGGAACAGGAAGGATACCATAGAACCTGATCTAGAAGGCCAAGGCAAGAATAGCTGCCAAGTTGCTCCTTGTAAAGAGCTCAGTTTAATGGGGATGTGTACAGTGTTGGGAATACACTACTTATATGCAGGAAAGGGAAATTTGTGGTAGTTGAGACCAAAAAATAAGAGATGAGTAGGAGGTAATAAGAAGGGAATCCCAGGGAGCAGCATTTAAGGGACTTACAGAAGAGCACTGAGTTAAAAAGGCTTAAAGGCTTGTAACATGTAGCAACATCTCTGAGTGCTTACTTTCAGGCCATAGGAGTTTATCCCCAGAGGCACCACCTCCTCAGCTATCCCAGGCTTAGCCCTCCTTGAAGGACTAACCTTGGTATAGAGAAGGGACACTTATAATTAATGCCTAGATTAAAAAGAGCGCTGCAAATGTTTGTGTTTAGGGATATAGTCTGAGTTGGAACATGTAGCCACACACCACTAAGAATCTAAAGCCATGATTCCATTTTAGGACTGAGTTTTGAAACAGTACCAGTTAGGCTTTTTCATTATGAAAA